TATTTTCTCCTGCTAACCTGTCTTGTTAATTATTTGGCCAGCCATAAGAACCTTAAGGAAAAGGGCAGAGGGAGATTCTCCCTCTCTCCCGACACTATCACTCAGCAGAGAAATTTAAGCTAGTGTTCTCCCTATGATGTCATCCACATCGCTAAACATTGACTAAGGTTTAGAAATGCAGTAAGCAAAAAAAACATTGCAAATTTTAATACTTGAGGATCATTAACTTCATTGTGTCAATTTGTTAAAGTGCCAAGTAATGATTTTACAAATGATTAGACTTTAACAGGCACAAACGAATTTATGTCTTTCTTGCTTTTATGATGCATGTAATGATAGATGTACTATCATGCAAGCTGTTGTTTTTAGGTACACAACATCTCTTAATGTCCTAAAGAAAATGAAATATTACATGTCAGTAACTGATCAGTGCCTGTATAAAATACATTAGTGGCTTTTCTTCTTTTATCTACTTTTAATAGAAGCTCATTCATCATGGCTTACAAAGGTGGAATGTTTTCAGGCCATTGCTATTGGAAAATGGCAGTGAACCTTTAAAGTCAAAAGTATAAGACAATAGTTTCAGATTACTAGAATTGTTTTTATAATAGTTGAAATTTACATACAAGTGAGTTGGTTCCTCTGTAAGCGTTTCTTAAAGGTAAATTTGGAAAAGGTTTTTTTAATGATATCAGGTTTTGTTACCTATATGTTTTTTAACGCCACACTTGAAATATCATGGCATAATGAGAAATAACCTCTTCTTCGAATTTTTGTTTTGTTTTGTTTTTTATCATTTCCTCCTGGACTGCTCTGTGCTATGGCCATCAATTTTTACGTATTGCCAATAAATCCCTATAAACAAATGATTGAAGTTAATGGCGTTCTAAGCCTGATGTGGGATAAATTCAAAGTGAGGAAAATAATTGAGTAACAAGCTCTCAGATCTTTATACTGTGAAGGACTAGATAACAGTTTTAATTAGAAAAAACTAATTGCTAAAATACATTACACATTTTTAGTTCACATTTTTAGCTGAAACTATAAAATCTAATGTACTTTTTTTAGGGATATAAAGATTCTTTTAAGTTCAGAATGTGAAGGAGCACCACTGAATTAGGTAAGATTTTTCTGGAGGAGTAGTCAAGTGTACTGGGCTGGAAGACAGAAATATAATTTCCTGGTTCTCCTCTAACTTATACAGGCAAAGCTT